ACGACCCTACTTATCGCTATTACAAGTGTGTTTTGGAGATAATAGGCTTATTTTATAAAATTTTATTATTTGTCGGACTCGACACCCGTCAACTACAATGCATGTTTTACAACCCTATGCATTGGATTGTTTGTTGTTTCTTTCCACATCAAATAAACCATCTTGAAGAAGAAAAACCATAAGGAAAATCATTCCATTATACAACTCCAAAATAGATCTTACACAAACCACTAACAATTTCAATGCTAATAACAGAATTCATAGCTTCCCAAGGGCCAACATGGCTTCATATACCTATATCCGCTGATTTTCGGGTTGATTTACCATCCGCAAAATCTAACACAAAATAACGCAAACCTATTATTTTCAACACAAGCCCAATTATTTACAAGGGTTCTAAAAGACACGCCGTGGCGTAAGAAACAGCTCCGATATTACGCCAGCCAGGCCTATAGCGTTTGTGTAAAGCGTGGCTCACACGCCATGGCGTGCGTTTTTTTACAAGGCGTGACCTTTTCAAAAAAAAATATTTTTATGGTTTTTGTGTTTTTACGCTTTCATAGATTTACCTAATCGCATCACTTACAGATTCACGGAATCAGACAATGACACGTCGAGTATTCAATGGTTAAAACGAAGTTTTAAAAGCCTTCCTAAGTTTTACTTTGAATATTTGTCACAAACTTTTATTCTTTTGTAGATTTTTTAGTAGTTGAGTAAGAAATAGAATATATATATATATATATCATATTCAAATTTGTCGTCTTATGTCACGCCATGAAAAACGCTATGTCCTCTCCGTGGCATGTAAGGCTTGAGGCTTAACCTCGTTGCCTTGTCGTGCCTCGTGCCATTTAGAACCTTGTATTTGACTGACCAATAAATTGAAATATAAAAGATTGTACCTTCTCAGTGAACAAGCGAAACTCTTCCTGTTTCATTGCTTTATCAAGTTCCTGGAAGATTCAAAAAATCACATTTTATTTATTTGAAACTATACTATAGAAATAATAAAGAGCGGAGATCTGAAGCATGCCAACATCACTTACGGCTTCAGCGTCAGCGGAACAATCTATGTTGCGTATGAGTTCCTGTAGCTCTTTGCCTTTCATAGCATCACGGATTTCGTTCGACAAAGCTGCATCCATGATCTTATTAATTTCTCAACCAATGGGTCCTTTTGTCAAATTAATACGTCAGTCTAGTGTTTCTCTCAGGTTTATATATATATATATATATATATATATATATATATATATATATAGAGAGAGAGAGAGAGAGAGAAGGCATTATTTGATTATAAACACACACATTTACATGTGTTCACTTGTGAACATTGGTTACATTCACTTGTGAACATAGTTTTTGTCATGTAACACAAGTTGGGAACATTTCACATATGAACCTGCAATATATTCACTTTGATTAACCACTGTTCACGTTAAATTAACATAATCATTCTAGAATCTTGTCAATCCACAAAAACATGCAAGCAATAATTTGTAACATATCATTAAATACTATAAAAGTAACTTACACGTAAAATTACCTATTTGCCCTTCATCATTGAATCAAACATTAGAAGTAACCTCTACTAAAGAATCAATCTTATTGGTCTAATAAGTTCACAAAATTAACACCACTCTTAGCTAACAAAAGATCCTATCTATATATAGATATAATAAATATATAGGGTTGGGTTCATGTGAGACCACCTCCTAGCCTTTAGATTTACAAGATCTCACTGAACCTTCACATTTTTTCATATAAATATGTGAATGTGAAGGTTTGCAAGATGAAGGAGATCCAACGGCTAGGAGGTGGTCCAATGGGTCTCATAGAAAAAGGGTGGTCTCAGATGATTCTAATCTCTGTAAATAGTTACATATATACGGGAGAGGTTCAAATGAAAACAACTTGAAGGTTGGATACATGGAAACACAAAAATGAATGAAAAAGTATAATAATATGGATGTCGAATTAAAAAGAATAAAAATGCTTATTTTTTTGGTGAAACTTGTTTGTCTCCAATTTTGATTTTAAGTTTGCCGATTTTCAGTTATAAGTAGGGAGGGAGATGATTTTATTGTTTAAAAGGACTATTGTAACCACCTTTTTAATCACTACATGTGGATCAAATCCATCTACCTAATAGTTAAGATCTATTTCAACATTTACAACTTTCAGATTGTTTCCATATATGTTATACATACATACATACATACATACATACATACATACATACATACATACATACATACATACATACATACACATATATATATATATATATAGAGAGAGAGAGAGAGAGAGACTCGAATAAAAACCACAAAAATGTGACAAATTCTTGAGAACCAATCCCAGCCATTCAATGAGTTTCATTTTAAGTTAGGATTCACATATGAATCAGTTTTCATGTGTTGTTTCATATGTGAAATTGTTTCATATATGAAACATTCAGGATTTTTTCAAATCTGAAAGGACACGAATATACATTTCATTTATGAAACACCCACACACATACAACCTCACCCACACACACAAGTATAAAACATGTGAAACAACTTGAATCTTAACTTAAAATGGAACTCATTGAATATACACACACACACACACATGAAAAAAACCCAGAAAGAACTCCAAAAGAACCACCTTTTTAAAAAACGTTAGATTGAGACGACACAATAGATAAACCACCTTTTTAAAAAAATCCCCTAACCCCTTTTCTAATCGAAAATTGGCAAAATATAACCAATTGGAGCGCAACAAGTTACACCAAAAAAGCGATCATTATCTATGCTGTTAATATCGCGAAATATCGTCGATATATCGGATATCGCTCCTAGAGAAAATATCGGTGCATATATATCGGTCAAAATATCGTCCCCGATATTATCGGCGATATTTTCCGATTTTTCCCGATTTTTAGCGATATTTTGATGCAAATATCGGACCGATATATCGATTTTTTAGGGTTTAAATATTTGTGCTTTTGTTATTTCATGGGCCTAATTTTTTGGGCTTGGTAACTTAAATTAGGTTTGAAATTGATCTGCCTCCACAACGGTCTTCTTCTTTCTTTTATATTTACAACTTCAGATTCAGACACCTAGTTAATCACGACTTCGACTTCTTCTCACGACTTGGACTTCGACTTCTTCTCACGACTTGGACTTCGACTTCTCGATCTCCTCTGCTTACCAGGTTGCTACAGCCACAGCAGCAACTGGCAGCAACTGTAATCGACAGCAACAGCAATCGACAGTGCCTGGTCCAGCCTCCAGGTCTTACTATCACCCACCCACTCACTTAATTATTCTGATTTGTCTTAGTTAGAAGTCAGAACTTAGAACTAGTAACTTAATTACTAAAAAAGAGGGGGTCAATCTTCAAGGGCATCTGTGACCCCGATTACTACTACTATTACTTCATCAGACGCGGGTACAAAATGCGTCAATGGAGATATGGCTTGGGAATAGGGGGTATGGAAAGATCCAACCAAAAAAAATAATGTATGGTGTACCTTATGTGATAAAAAAATGAGTGGGGGGATCATTAGGTTGAAAGAACACCTTACTCACACCGGAGGTAACGTCATTGGTTGTCCTAATGTGAGTAACGACATCAAAAGAAGAGTTCTAGCATCCATTAGTGAAAAGAATAAGAAAAAGAAAGAACAAAATAGAAATGTAGAAATCCTTCGACAATATTCGATTGAAGTTGATGATATTGATGAGGATGAGCAAGACGTAGATGGAATAGAGATTATCGAAGGAGGAAGAGCACGAGCGCAAGCCTCAACACAGCCTCGTGGTTTAAAAAGAAAGCCCGCTAGTGATGTTCGCGGACCTCTTGATGCGATGTTGAAGCCCGATTATGCCAAGATAAAGCAAGCCACTTTAGATAGAAACAATCCAATCAAAGAGAAGTTAAAGTTGGCCGCTTGGAAAGAGTTTGCGGTTTGGGCATATTCGGTTGGGTTGCCRTTYAATGCCGTGMAAGATGAGAACTTTCAAAAGTTCATAWATGCKGTTRGAKAGTATGGAARRGGTAATTACCACTTCMAATTTCTAATATATTTCTCAAAGGTTAACTACTAAATAGTAAGTACTAACTTTATTCCTATCGTTGATTCGTTGGTAGGCATGCCGGCTCCAAGTTATCATAATATTCGGGTCACATTGTTGAAAGATGTACTTGAGGACACCAACAAGTTTGTGGATTCCTTCCGTTCACACTGGAAGAAGAGTAAATGCACTATTATTTTTTTCAACTGTTTTCCGTGGTTCTTCTGTTCTTTCTTTTTTTGATATATATTATTTTAGGCAGATCTAAACCAAAGTAATGATCTGGATAAAGAGTAGGCAGAGGAAACTTGCAGCCATGAACAATCTTTACTTGGAAAGCATACCTATGCACTCAAGTTGGGAATGTGGCAACACATCACTGATATCATCAACATAACATGCTCTATCAACATCAACTGGTGGAAGAATTGTGCCTGAAAATAGAGTTGAATAGTGTTAGATTGTAATATTAAGCAAGCACACACGACTATACTTCTAAGATCAAGATGGCAAGCAACGGTGCTTAATAAATCCCCGTATTATTGGATGGTGCAGCATTGACCTATCCTCATATTATTGACCAGAATGGGGGTGACTTCAGTTTTTCTTAATACAGGTGAGGACCAATATTCGAAATTTATATAATTATAAATTGAACTTAAAAATCTGTAAGTAGAACTTTAAGGTCCTGTTTCCTGGATTTGAAATCCTAGGATTTCAATGAAACCCCATAAACATAGGATTTTGAATAGGATTTGTATGTAATAAAGTCTTAAAATATGTTAAATACATTTGTTTTGTAATAATCGATTAATAAAAAGGTAGTTTAATTATTTTTTAATTATTCATAATTTGTTTTTGTAAGTTATTTATAAAGAACAGAATTCAATTTCATTCCAAATCCTACAAACTGAACACACCAAAGCTTCCAAATACTTCCATGAAATCCAAATCCCTCTAAACCATTCCATCAAACCAAACGCCCCCCAAGTCTTAAGCTAGTATAAAGAAAGAAGGTGGTGAGGCTATAAAACTACTTTTTTTTCCTTAATAACTCAGACAAATATGGACACACTAGGTAAGAACGCATCATAAGACCAACTGAAGTTTGTTTTACTTTATATAGTTAATATGTAAGATACAAGATAACTTCATTCTCTTGCTAGCATGACTTTGAACTTTTGGACATGTATATATACACACACAAAAAACACACTTGCAGATTCTCAACTCAGAACCTCAAATCCAAGCAGCAAAACATAGCCAAAATCTTGTCCTTATAACATAGCTTTTTGATTGATATGTGAGAGCAAGATATCAAGAGAATACAAGAATGACTGGGGTAGTATGCTTATTGTGAAGATCACATACGCTAAAATGTTTAATGGAAATAAAGGGAAATATATGTTTAACAGGAGGTTTGCAGGCCCAGCTTCACCTAATTCAGGGTAAACATTGGTTGGCCATACTGATACGGGTGTGGTATGATAGTTCAGAGGTGTAGTTCATGGAGAGGTAATCTCATCAGATACGTATTTTAGTGCACCATATGACACTTGGTTTATATACTTCAGTACAGTATTTTTAATGCCTGCTTTGATAGGGCAGAGTAGGTATCACCATCAACCACATTATAAAATTACTAGAAGGGTACTCGCGCAATGCAGCGAGATATATCTCGATTTTAATGTTTCGTTTTATTCCGTCTCTGTAGAGGTTTTAATACGGTTTTTATGTGGTTTTGAAAAAGGGATAATGTTTTTGTTTTTGAACAAAATATAAATTTGAAGATATCATAAAATTTCGAAAATAAATATATCAATATTAGTATCATATTAACTATTAAAAAGTTGTTTTTTGTGTAATTTCTTTAATGCAATTTTTTTATTATAATTTAATTTAGATTTAATAATGAAGTAATTTATTTTTGATTTAATAATATAATTTTTTATAAGAATTATAATTAAGTATTCTGTTAGAACTCAATGATTATCCTAATTAAATTTTAGATTTTTTATATTTAAAATAAAATGTTTATCTTGTATTTGACTATGTTTATCTGTCGTTAGTTACACGAATTCCAACATGAAGCTTTAATAAGTTGTACTTATGCACAGTTTATTTGTAATCTTGAATTTTAAGTAATATGCATCAATAAATAGTACTCCATGCATAAAAAATGGTTTCTAAGAGTTTTTGTCAAATGCTTTATAATATAGTATAGATAAGTGAAGAAGTCAAAAATAATATATTGAAGATGCACCTAATAACTATACAAGATATCTCGAGGTACATTATCCTCATTTTCTATTTTCTCCTTCATGCTCGAATTTTATTGAACCTACGTGAATGTATTTTACTTTATTCCTAAAAACTTCACCTGCTATCCTTTATTTTGATGAATCAATTCATGAACATGCTCTATCAAGGATGCAAAAGGATTGATTCATGATTCATGGGGTGAGCTTGAATATGGTAACAATAAGCAGGTCCTTATTTTCATAGAGAGGATTTTACATCATGGACATTATTCTAAGCCAAAATGTAGCACACTGTACCAAATACTTGAGATTATTCTCCATTTGTGCATACTAAATTCCCGTTTATGTATTCAAAAAGACTTCCATTTTCTAAAAATAAATGTACAAGTAACAATTTAACCTTACTTGTTGTGTCGTTCTCAGGGGCAGGAACTGGTTTGACACATGATATTTCTGCACAAGATCATTCATCTTCGCATTAGCTTGTAAATTACTCGATCAGTCTAGACGGAAAAAAAAGAAAATGGAAATTTTACATTGATCAAAATACCACAAAGTAGGCATGTATGACTTTGGCTAGAAATCCGAGGTTTTTCAGTGTACAGACAGACAAATAAAAAAAATAATATAATCCTTCCTTTTTCAGACGAATAACAAAAAATGTATTTTCCTGCTCTATCTATCATCTCTCATCTATATGTCTACCTTGCAACTCCACCTCCACCACCACCACCACCACCATGGCATCATCACCACCTCCACTAGCACCACTACTCAACTAAGGCAATAGTGTGAAATTCCCTGAATGTTCTTACATTGTCATGTAAGGCTCCAACGTTTCAACTTCAACTAGGATTGATATGACTTCCCAAGCTCCAATCATACTCACACAACTACGATTGAAGAATTGTACAAAAATAAAGCAAGTTTTCAGCCATAATATGTTTCAATTGGAAAATACTCTGACGAAATTCTTCAGAAACGTATAACTCATCCTATCATCCTATTTCACATAAGTCCATGGAATAAATAAACAGTAAGCGATTTACTAAATAAGAGATTTAGCAGAAAATCTTCTAGACAACAATCAAACACTCCAGAAACCATCGAGATTGAAGGAAGGAAAAGATTACCTTTGTGTTTCTTAAAACAGACGAGCGAACAACTGCAAATATAAACAAATTAAACAAGAGAATATGATCAAATACACATTACATCGTTTAAGAACCCTAAATAGTAAGAATTTACATTTGAAGGTAACAATGAAGACAAAAACAACTTACTACGGTATGAGACAGGCAGGGCACTTGTACTTAGATTCAGCTTCTTCACACACTTTACATCCCTTTTTAGGCGGTGTTTTTGGTTCTGTGAAACCTTTCTTTCGCTTCCCCATTCTGCTCACAAAAACGCAGATGAAGACGATATCTCTATCGATCAGCGGCTAACGAATGAATTGACTGCACAGACAAAGCTGATAGTACGGCAGTCGGCGGCAAAATAGGGTAGTAAACTAGACGGCGCCGGTGGAATCGGGTGCAGGGATATGAAGAAGAAGAAGAAGAAGAGAAGGTTGTGGACTTTTTTAGCAAATTAAGCGGCCAATGCCCCAAACCAGGCTATAAAAGGAATAAAACAATAAAAGATTTCGTTATAATAAAATTTAAAGAAAACCAATGTTTATCGGTAAAATTTAATACTATTATTTACTTATCATGTAAGATTTTGGTACAGGTAAATTTAACATTATTATTTACTTACCAGGTAAGATTTTAATCAACAAAAACGACATCATATGCAACAATTTATCCGGTAAACACTTACCGTGGTAAGAGTCGTTGCCCCCACTTATCGGGTAAGACTCATGTTCCTTGTCTCGCTCTTATCGATTAAGATTCTTGATCCTTACCATATTCATCCGGTGAAGTAATGTGACTTAGTAAATATTTACCTAGGTAAGCGTTTGGTAAACGGCCCCTAAATAACATTTTTCATTCATGCAATTTTAAAATTACAAGACGGTCATCATGATTTACAAAAACGTTCCAATTTGATCATTATCTCAAACGGTTGTTAAAAATCCGTTAATGACAAACATTTTCGTTCTTTTATCGATTTTTTTTTGTCTTTTACACGTTCAAAAACCATAATAACCAAAATTATAAAATAAATTTTGATTGGTTAAACGAAAATAAAAATCAATAAAAGAACGAAAATACCTCTCGTTTAACAAAATCTTTAACTACCATTAGAAGGAGGGATCAAATTCTAATGTTTTAGCAAACCATGATGCTCATCTTGTAATTCAAGATTCAAGCTGTAGGACGACAAATGTTATTTCCGACAAACCATGAGGACCAAATTTGTAATTTACTCTAAAATTAAATTTTAAAATAAATATAAAATTATTTAAACACTTTTACACCCAACCAATAATCAAATACAAATTTGTGAAAATCAATGCAAAGCCATTCGATAATTTTGATTTTAAGTTATAATTTTTTTTTAATCTGAATATCTAACCCGTTATACAAACCGATTAATTTTAGGATGACCACCTGTTTTATGGATAGCTCAGAGTCACCGTATTTGAACATCTGTGGCCACAAGAAGATTTTTATTTCTACTTGGATTTGAACTAGGATCTTAAAGACTTTTCATTTTTGAATTCCAAGCTCAAACTAATCAGATACCACTCTTGTGGTTAAAAAAATATGAATTAAATTGATAGGAGAAAATGTAAATTAAATTATTTAAACACTTTTTATAAGTGTTATTGTTTGTGTTTGTATATGTACATGCATGTGTTTCTAAATGTATTTTTGTGTTATTTCGACGTACAAAACAGTAACAAACATTTCATTTATAAAATGATATTGTATGTTTCATATATGAAACAACAAACAAAAACCAATTTATAAGTTTAAAATATTTATTGAGTTTGTATTTTGTTTACCTTTGTAATGATAAATCGTATTCATTTGCCCAAAAACTAAGATTGTATTAATGATAAATATTAAAATGATCTAACTGAGTTGCAACCATTTCTTGTCAACCATTTCAATGTCCTGTTTACCGAATATTTATTTTGTAAGCGTTAACTGGTAAAATACAATGCTATCACTTACTTATCAGATTAAATTTTAGTCAACAAAAACGACATCATATGCAACAATTTACTCGGTAAGCGCTAATTATGGTAAGAGTCGTTACCCTCACTTACCGGGTAAGACTCTTGGTTCTTGCCTTGATCTTACCAAGAAGATTCTTGATCCTTACCATATTCATCCGGTAAGGTAATATGACTTGGTAAGCGTCGTATTCTACAAATCAAAGAGCAACTTAATTCCCCATTCATTTCTTGATCCTTACCGTATTTATCCGATAAAGTAATATGACTTGGTAAGCGGGTAAATGTTTAGTAAACGATTCCCAAGGATAAAAGCAACATTCAAGAACTACAAGACAACGTAAGATTGACAATTAAGGTCGTTCACCAAATACTTGCAACGTAAACGCTTACCGACAACGGTCATCACGCCAACTTACCTTACAGGGTAACATTCTCGACCGTCATCAAAATGGATCATTTGTGCTTCTTACCCGGTAAGCACTAATCGAGTAAGAGTCTTCTCCCTCACTTAAGAACCTTGTTAGGTAAGATTATCGGTCCTTATTATGCATACGCAATAAGAGTGTGGTTTCAAAATAATATGCTTTCACAAACTTCACCTCTAATAAGAGAGTTTGGAACTATTAAGAAGTAAACAAACAACGTAAAAAAAAAAATGATGAAAAAAGAAGCTAGAAGAAAGATGGAGGAGAGAAACTGAAGATGAAAGTTTCCATCCAACCTCAGTAAAGTAACTGACAGTAATATCATACTAATAATGCAAACAACCAAAATAAGTGAAGTGAAGTAAGCAGTTTTCACATATAAAGTCCTTCTGGTACACCCTCTTTCTTCTTGAACATAACCTTGTCCTTTGCCTTTTTAAAGTCACCATGTGTCACCTGATCATTTACCCACAATTTTATAAGAAACTATAGCTATTTACTAATTCCAGAATGATCTAATAAACAACACAATTCTGGAATGTTTAAGGTTTTCATTTGACAATAAGTAATATAGCAATTTTAGGATGCATTTGGTATCCAAACAGGATATAACAGGACAATTGTTCAGCATTTGATAACACAAAACTCGACAGGACGGAACATAAAATGACCTATTTACCCCTAATGAGTTGTTTATATATTTTGATTAATTTATGTAACTTGTTAAATTATAATAAAATAAACATTTTTATAACAAAATATATCATTAGAAAGTTTTCGTGACGATTAAAAATGACACCAAGATAAAAAGTTTATGTAGTTTCCCGTTTTTATTTTATACCTTTTCTATATTATTTTTTAATTAAATTATAATAAAATAAGTATTATTAATATTTATTAAATTACATAAATGAATAATGTATTTGACGTTTTAGAAGAGAATTACGTTTATTTTGATGTCATATTGGTAAAATACATGTCTCATCCACTTTGTTCGACATAAAAGTCTTGCCAAACGTGGAACAGTGATCCCTATTCTGTGCTCTCCGGTGTACCAAATGCACCCTTATTGTTCTCGCTTTGCTGACCTAGCGCCTTCTGTCCTTCTATGCATATGTCCGGTCCTAGTTTAATTATAGCACCAAACGTGGAACAAGTTTTTGTTTGGTTATATCCGGTTGCGGTCTAATTATCGCACCAAATGTGGAACAACAAGTTTTTGTCCAGTCATGTCAAGTGCCAGTCTAGTTATTGCATCAAAAGTGGAACAATTTTTCTAAATGGTTTTTATTGTGTGTGATCATCAATCCTAAGTATCAAGAGAGTTGCAAGTGGAAGATAAATATATTTCACTGACCTTCATTCGGCGTTCTCTTAAAGCAAGTAATCCGGCCTCGGTACATATAGCCTTGATGTCGGCCCCAGAGAACTCATCTTTGGTCATCACAAATTCTTCCAAGTTGACATCATCAGCCAAAGTCATTCTTGATGTGTGTATCTAGATTAACAAAATCACTTAGCATCTAAATTACAAAGCTTTATCAAAATCATTAACAGAACCAGTTTTTCAAAACTTCATCAACATCTGTCTTTCTCTCTTCGTCACAGTTTTCACAAGTCGGGGTTTTCACATAAATGGTCGCTCTACTCTTTGGGTAGAGACCATGTCTACATACATCTTAGGGCCTGTTTGTTAGCAGCTTAATGAGCTTAGAGGGACTCACAGCTTACTCGGTCAACTATACATGACTGTTTGGTAGTGGTTTAATGATATAGAAAGTGGCTTATTCAGTATGCTTCTAGGGGGGAGCTTTATGCAGAAAGCCAAGTTTTTTTCCAAACTGTCCCTCCCGATAAGAAAACACCTTCCTTCCATGTATGAAAAAAACCCTCCCTAACAAAATCCTTCTCAATCTATACATATAGATTAATCCCCCAAACAAATTTATGTACGACTTAGTGGAAAAGCAACAAAACAGCCCCTTACTCTCCCTAGATCCCAACACTATTGGGATATACCCGGTCCCAAAATAAATATCCACGATGAAATAGACACAATTATTACACTTTTTAGTTAACTAAGTGATAATTTTACCCTTAATAATAGAGGGAGTAATGAATTTATCCGTCTAATAATTAAGAGTAGAATTGGAAAGTAGACACTTATTTTTAAAGGTTGGACACTTATTTTGTGACGAAGGGCAACCATTTGACAAGTCAATGACGTAGCAATAACTGTACCTGGAAAATCCGTCTCCTGGTTTTGATGTCAGGAAGCGGAAACTCTATCTTCCTATCAATACGACCAGGCCGGAGCAAGGCCGGGTCAAGACTTTCTATTTTGTTTGTCGCCAAGATCACTTTCACATCACCTCTTGAATCAAAACCATCTAACTGGTTCAATAATTCCAACATGGTTCTCTGAATTTCACGTTCACCACCAGAGTGGGCGTCATACCTGCATAACTTACCCCTTTTAGTAATTTCAAAAAGCTTGGGAACAAATATGTAAGGAATAGAAAGATTCCAACTCCCCCAAGTAAAGAACCGTTACAAATAATGAAGAAGCTGTTGGATTAAAAAATGAAGCAATGTAAATAAACTAAATGTGATGCACGAATTTCTGGTTTGAAAGATTCCAGGACTCAAATGCCCTTGAGCATACCTCTTTGTACCAACGGCATCAATTTCATCAATGAAGACAATAGAAGGAGAGAGGTCATCCGCAACTCTGAAGAGCTCTCTAACCAATTTAGGACCATCTCCAAGGTACTTTTGAATCAACTCACTTCCAACAACACGCAAGAAAGTTGCGGATGTAGAGTTTGCCACTGCCTGAACACCATACCAAAGGGCTTATTTTAAGTAGAATAAACTAAAATAAATCAAACCAATTGAACGCAGTATATTCCATCCGGAGGTGGGGTCTAGGGGAAGACGTACGCAGACCTCACATCTACCCTAAAGAGTAGAGTGGTTGTTTCAGTAACGGCCTCAGCTAGTGAAAAGTGTGTGAACGGGAAAAAAGAAGCAGATATGTTAAAAAATGAAAAATTAGATAGAAGTAAACGATAGCAATGAAACTAGAGAGAGAGAGAGAGAGAGAGAGAGAGAGACAAATATGCTAAATTTTGAGAAACTAGATGCTATGATTAGTAGAATGGCCCTTGATAACCAACCTGAGCAACATCAGCTACTGGTAAAGAGTCAAAGGGAAATTAATATTGCAACAGAATAGCAAAAAATGGGCAAAACAGAACACCCATGACATGCTACTATAACTCTTCAAACAAGACGACAGAAGGTCAAGGTGCTCCAAGGTCCGAACAACAACATTCTTCAATAAAAGTTTGTTCATATATGTTCATTAGAGAGAGGGTTACATTTTTGTAAAAGGCGATGTTTGCTGAAAAGTGAAAAGCTAGTTGTTGGCTAATAGCCTAATAAGCTAGTCATGTTTGATAAAAAAAAACTAATCGATAAAGTAGATGGCGATATAAAATGACCTGAATGAACATTATAAAAATAATGGAAAACTATTAGGGGCCTAATTAGAAAAAAGTGGAAAAAGACCCTCGAGCTTATTGAGACGCTACTTCAAGTAGCTTTTCAAAAAGCCAACTTATAAGCTAGTTGATGACTTACCAAACGGGACTTTTCGATAAGCTCAAAAAAGTAAACTAGCATATTATTGCCAAACATGATCAAAGTAAGTCGAGACAAGTTTACTTATTCCTTTGCTAGTTCTTGTAATGTTCATCAAGACCATTCCCCTTTGTATAAACCTATGCATTAATGTTTCACGTACCAACCTTTTACTTCACAAATTATCCCAACTTTAAGCATCAATCATCCTATCAAAAAAAACATGCAAGATCCCCTCATAGTGTCCAAAGTAAGGAACACGAATCACATAAGCTTAGAAACAACTTATTTTTCCTATTAAAGGAAGGAAACACTTAAATTGGCAGGGAAAAATCATAATATTATAACTTGAAGAGTACACACCTTGGCAAGCAAGGTCTTGCCTGTTCCAGGTTCTCCATACAATATAACCCCCTTAGGAGGTTTGATCCCAATGTCCTCGTATAGTTCAGGATGAGTCAACGGGAGTTCTACTGCCTCCTTTATTTCTTGTATCTGGGCATCTAATCCACCAATATCAGCATATGATTCCAAAGGAGCCTTCTCAACCTTCATGACAGACACCATGGGATCAACATCATCCTGAAGGAGCCCAACAACAGACAGAACCTGGGATCGTAGAAAAATCACCATTAGCATAATTGGGGCAGATTCAATTGAAAACCGTAACTACTTTAAAAACCTGGGAACCAACTATTCATGACGAAAGTCATGATAGATATCCATGATGAAAACTACTTGGGACGAAAATGCATGATATTCGTGATGAATACTCAAAGTTATTCTTCCTGAATAATACATGAAATAGTTGGTTCATAAATCTTAGGTTTTCAAAATATTTACTGTTGTCATTTAAACTTTCCTCTAGCCCATTCATATAGCTTAAAAGTGGCTTCGACTTCAAGTAATCAATGTAGCTCTATACATAAGTGCGGTTAATTACAAAACATGCTAAGAACAKTTTAAAAGAACATAAATTTTAGCAGCCTCTACTATCACAAAGGAAAGAACCAATGAAAACTAAATTTTGGGCTATTATTGCTTTGATAGAGTTATTTGATCAAATGATGATAAAATAAAGGTTGACAACAATAAGCATGATCAAAATCAATTGAAACGATAAAAGGAAGTGTGAACCGAACTCAAATCAATTGACATTCTTGACTCAATGGTCAATATCTTGAAGTTCAATTGAATCATATATATAGGCTTAAATGAAGTAATATGAATTTAACTCCAATCAATTCAAACCCAATTTCAATTAGAAAACGAAGACTCAATTTAACTCGAATCAAATGAAATGCAAAATTGAAGTGTTAAATCGTCTCAATGCAATGGAAAACCGAATGATACCTTATTGTGCATCAAGATCGCACACCCAGGCTCCAATTGATCCTTGTCAACAAATGATAAAATCCCAACATAATACTCCGGTCCAACCGACGACGATACAATGGCGTGATTCTCATCAATAAGCTCCTCCAGATTACCAACACTCATCGGAGATCCACGTAGATCATCAACCTTAGACCTATCCTCTTCAGTTTTCTCTTCCTGAGGCTTTAGCCTCTCCTGATTGGCCACGAACTCCTCTTCCATTAACAGATAATCTTTGATTCGCTCTAGCTTTAAGAGCCGTAGCCTACACTTCGAATGCGGCGTCACCGTCGGTAACCGAGCGGCTGCCTCCGGTCCCTTCTGCTTCCGTTGTTTCCGGCCGACTCGAGCAGGCGGCGCTGCCGGTTCGAATTTCTTCTCCTTTTTGTCCCCATCGTTCTTCCGATCGCCTGAATTTCCTTGCCGGTTCAAACCGCCGGGAGTTCCCTGACCCATGATGATTTCCTTGTTTTCGAGAGGAAAATACAAAGGAAAATTGATTCAAATTTGGGGTTTTGAAGCTTCTTTCAGTCTTTCTGTGCAAGAAAGCAGATTGATAATCGGGTCCTTTTGACCCGACAAACGGAAATTCGGGTTGTAAATCGAACTACTTGAACCGAGGAAATTCGGGCTGTAAACACGTGTTTTAACTTTTAACTTTGAGTAAATTATGTTTTTTCTCCTTATGGTTTGTTGAAAATTACTATTTTAATCCTTATACTTTTGAAATTATGATTTATATCCTTGTAGTTTGTAATACGTTGTTATTTTAGTCTTTATGATTTAAAACTTCCAGTTGTTTTCATCGTTGTAGGTTATAATTCATTATTATTTTCATTCCGCAAGTCTCGTTTGGTTAGCGGGATTGAATCGGATTTGGAGATATTAGGAATTGAATTCCATAGGATTTTGAAATCCTATGAAAGGGACCGGAGGCAGTCGCTCGGTTACCGAGATTTCAAACACAAGAAATTCGTAGGATTTTCATCCCTCATGCCTCGTTCGGTTAGCGGGATTGAACTGAATTTGGATTTGAAATCCTGGGATTTTTCTTGAAATCCTACAAACATAAGATTTTAAAACCCTACAGGGATGGTCGGTATTTCACGGGATTTCGTATGATTTCTATGTAATAATGTTTAAAATATGTTAAAAACATTTGTTTTATAATAATCTATTAATAAAAATATAATTTAACTATTTTTATGATTATTTATTATTTGCTTTTATAAATTATTTGAAAACAATGAAATTCAATTCCAAATCTTACAAAATAAACACATCAAAGATCCCAAATCCAGATCCCTCTAATTCTAAATCATTTCACGAAATCCAAATCTCTCAAAACCATTTCATCAAACATAAGACCCCTCATACTTAAAGGCAGGAATTAGTCTCAATGACAAAAACCGTAATAAATTACATACCATAAGAATGAAACTGTAACCAAATGGCCTTTTGTCTAGCAGTATTGTAGTCTTTGGTCTTCTATAAGATCAGGGGTTCAAACTAGAGCTATTCATGGGCTTGACAACCCGTTAAATCCGGCCCGCTAGAAATACAGGCTTGGACAACCATTATCGAGAAAATGGACAGGTCCGAGTTTGTTCGTTAAAATTAACTGACGGACATGGGCAAAGTAAAAATAAATATGAACAAGCCCGCGCCGGCCCGTTTATGTTCTGTAATTAATATTTTTTTACTATTGATTAAAATTATACTGGTATATTTTAAAATTAAACTATTAAAGTTATAGGATGAGAGTTGGGTCTCTTTGGTTTTTCTTAAGAACCCAAAAGGTTATACATTATCTTTGTTAGCATCCTTATGTCAAAAGTCCTAATCAATCAACAATGGATAGAGTCAGTAGTTACTTAAAGTTTTAATTGCAACGGCCTTTTTTCTTTATTTTTTTGGTTCCACATTTGTTAATTAAGAGTTACACTCTTTAGGCCCGTTAGCCTATGGGCAAACCCGAAAAAAAGGACTTGTGTTTACAATATTAGGCCCGTTGGACAAAAAAACAAGTTATGTCCGGCCCAGGATCGCAGATAATCACCTCTAGTTCAAACCTTACCAAAGATGAGAAAGGTGTATGAGTTTATTTGTTGCATTTATCGTATATAAATATTATATAATTAAAAAAACTATAATTTAAAAAACATAAAAATAAAATCCACAATTTTTCACAAATCATAAAGACGAAAAACCTAATTTACTCAATAACTTTTAAGTAGATTTTTATTTTTAAATGCTTTTTTATTTAAAATAATAATCTTTCTATTTTAAGCAATACACTTAAAATAGAAATATCCTAAATGCATGTATTTTATTTCTATTTACATAAAATAAAAATATATTTTAATTATAATTTCTCTAAACATTAATTGTTGTATCATAACAAAATTTGATAGTCAAATCAGTTGTAATGATTGTGTCTCGGGGAGAATATAAATGTCTATTTTGACGAAAAATGTATTATTTAAAAAAAAAACAAATTGTATGAAAAAATAACATATTTTAACTTGATTCTTATTTGAAGTAATTTAAATTTTTTATTTTGTATTTAAGATGTAAAGTTTTAAACATTTAAGCATTCGGGTAACCGGTTGAAACATTAACCGGTTATCATGATAAGTATCCAACTCAGTATTATTTGTTGACGTGGTTAGTGAGACATAGATTTTTTTTAATCTAAAATTAGTATTCACCGGTTACCTAGGTACTTAAATATTTAAAACTTTACATCTTATATACCAAAATAAAAGTTTTGAAAGTACGTTACCTAAAATATGAATTAAGTTAAAGTACAATGCCTTTGAGAACTGATGTTGTTAGTTTCTGTACTTGCATGTGTTTCATCGAATTTTCATTTTGTGTTTCCATATATGATTAGGATTCATATGTATAAAGTGTAAGATAATTCAGTTCTAATGTTGCAACCACTGTGGTTCCAACCATGTCTGGTGTTAGATAATATGATGTTAACGATACTGTTAAAGAAACAAAATGCTACATGTTTTTGGATATTTTAATGTTATAACGATAAACGAGAATGAAAAAAACCTAAAAAATTCTCCAAATACATCACATGATAAATGACAAAAATAACCTTATAGCTGAAGAGTGGTGCTCTCTTTTTAGGCAGAAACAAGACGTACTTTACGAGGACAAAATAGACTAATAAAAACCTCTCAAAACACAAACTAACATAGCTATGGTTACAACAACCATTTTCAAGGAAGTGGATCCGCACCAACATCGGCTCCTGCACCAGGTCCTCCTCCACCAAGTCCACCACCACCAAGAGCCGGTAAGCCAGCAAAACCATTAGCAAGACCTCCAAAAGTTCCTACACCACCTGCCGCCGCACCTGGTCCCCCATACTGGTAACCCGCACCAATGCCTCCAATTCCCTGGTGTCCACCACCAAAATCACCACCTACGCCCATTCCCATTCCACCACCACCAATTGGTTGGCCATCATTACCAAAGCCAGCAAAGCCACCTAATCCACCAAAAGTCGCAACATTTTTTTGATCCGTAAGACCAGCAACACCATTGTTGGTCTCACTGGGAACATCTCTAGCAGTAATAGTTTGTGCTACTACTGCCAGAACAACCAGTAACATAAAACACCAGTTTGCCATATCTTTTTGGACTGTTCTTTTTCTGACCACTTAGACTCTATTACTCTAAGAGTTGATGCAAGAATTTTGGAATGTGGGAATGCCCCTTTTAAGGGCAAAAGGGGTTGTAGTAAAAACAGTTGGGAGGAGTAAATGACTTTAATATGTAGGGTTGTTTCGTCAATTGGCAAGGCAAAATAATATTGCATCCATAAATGCAAAATTTATAATCAACTCGCAGCAATTGTAGCCTCTCAGGGAGAATCGATGACTGCATCCTTGATGCACAAAGTATACTGTATTATATTAAATTTTAATTGGTAAATAATTTAAAAAAAAAATAAGGTGATACTGTACTATCATGGTACACTACTTCTAATATCATGTACCAACTAAATTTAGACAGTTGGTATGGTACTACCAACCAATTATATTGGTATCAAATGAATCGGTACCAATTAAATTGATACGGTTGGTACATGAATTGGTTAGTTTGTCTTGGTAAAAAAAAATTAACATCCCTATTAAATTGTTACATTGGATGCTATTCTAATGAATTATTATTTTATCTGATAAAATAAATGACAGTGTTGAATTTTACCTGATAAGATAAATAACAGTATTGAATCTTACTGGTAAACGAATCCTTTTAACTGTTTTAAACAAATGAACTTAAAAGAATTGAAATGGGAGAGAGAGAGGGATGCATGGAAATAAAGAACAAGTGTCGTAAGGGTGATGGTGTAGCATGCAGTAACTGTATTCATGCATATGCCCTTGTCTACAGCCCAACACTACCATTACTGCAATTTATATTTTCCCTCTTATCTCCCACCATTTACATTCATGAAGAGAGAGAGACAGATGGTGTATATATATATATATATATATATATATATCTATATAGGGATGAGTTCAAATAAAAACCACTCAATTTGTAAAAACCGTGAAAACCTCATTCAACCAATAATAATTTTTCATTTTGTTCATATTTTTGTAATTATGAGAGGTTGATTAACCATTTTTGTAATTATGAGAGGTTGATTAACCATTTTTATTGTGAAGGGTGTTAATCATGAATATTATCATCTTCATTATTTTAATTTTAGAGAAATACATGAAACAGTTTCATTAAAATTTCATTAAGTAGTATATGAAACAATTTCATAACCACATA